GGTGCGTTCTCATGCCCCTCAGGAGGAGAAAATGAGGCCTCAGGCTTACAGAGGACACAAAGAGGGAACTGAGATGTCTGGCAGGACAGCTGCACACAGCAAGCCAGGTCCTGGAAACATCACCCGTGGGCCCAGGGCAACAGGAAGTTTGTCCCCAAGCCAGGAGCCAAGCATACACATTGGTCCTGGGCCTCTGATACATCTGGGACACTTGGCAGAGGCAAATGCAAGGTGCTCTGACCCCCTTCTGATGTGAGCCTCACATTCCTGCAGGACTTGACAGTTAACACAAGGCAGAGACAGGCAAAGAGAGAGTGTCATGACCATTTAAAGTATGAGGAATAAGTCCCAGTCAGACAGACTCATGCAGGGTCATACTCTAGGTAGAGGGAAGAGCTGGACCAAACCCCAAGCCCTGCCCTCTGCAACCCCGTCTCTAATAGAAGTATGGGCCGCACAGGGCCCTTCCTGAAACCCAGGACATGGGCAGGCAGGCACTGCAGACACCTGGCATCAGACACAAAGGTGCCTGACCTCAAACAAATGCCTGCCAGACCCACATTCTGCCACCAAGAGGTGTGTTACCTCCTCTCCCCCATCCTTTTCCTCCCTCACCCCCCGCACTGCTCATCTGAGCAGGGAATGTGAGGAGAGGGGTGTCTGGTGGGGACTGGAGTCTCTGGCTTGACAGAATCACAAGGTGTTGCCACAGATGAGAGTCTGTCATTTTTTTTCCTTGTAACCCACTTGAACTTTGTCATTGCAATTAAGCTTATCTCTTCTTGTGTTTGCTTAGCTTGTGGGTGGGAGATGTCATCACCCTCTCCTAATTTTATGGAAAACTACTTAATAGTGTAAAATTTTGAAATGGCTACTAAAGCTCTGTGGCTTCAAGACTCACACACAAAAGAAATCTAGTCAAAAGGGAAGGAAGTCTTCACCTCCAATCCATCAGTCGGTCTACCTCGCTCTCCCTTTGTCAGCTGACCATTTGCTGGGGGGGCTGTCAGACTGTCGTGCTGAGCCAGCACCTTGATCAGCCTGAGTTGGTCATGTGCAGGGCTGCTGGATGGGACAGGAGGGGTGCTGGTTCAGGCAGAGGGGTCTGTAGGGTGTTCATTCACACACTCTGCTCTTCTTCAGACCCTAGAAAAGGGGTCCACAACGCTGTTGTTCAGCATCTGGGATGGATGCTGATTTGCTGTGTGGAGAAACTTTCATGGCCCACATCCCCACCTTCCCCACAGATCCCAGAAAGCAGCTCTGTGGGATGTGTCTTTGACTTCTGGATATAAAGGTATACACTGGGTTTCCTTGTATTTGGGGAAGGATGTGGGGCATGCAGTGGCTGCACGAGGAAGCATGATGGACCCAGGGACTGCTAGTGAATGCTCCCAAATGGAGCACTTACTTGTGAGGCTTGGGGTGTGGGGCAGGGCTGGGGTATGTGTGGAATAAATGGCCTTGTCACTGCCACTTCCTTGGTGATTGCTTCATTGATTTTGGACTGCAAAGTTCCTGTGCTCCCCGTTTAAGCAAGTTTATACAGATATGGTCCTTGACAAGAGAACTTTGTGGGTGTGGCAGATGGGGTGGGGTTCCAGGTATGACCTGAATTTAGACCTGGGCTCAACAATTGCAAGGTCATTAGATAATATTCACCAGCTATTAGCCCATGAGTATTAGCCTATGTAATGCATGTGCCATGTGGGATTGCATGGTATTTGGGGATTTGAATAAAATTATCTTGTATTTCTCGAAATCCTCCCTGCGATTTCTGAGGGTGGAGGGCTGTACCTCCATGGAATTTCAATTTATAGGTATACTGTCTCAGCTTCATCACTCAATCCAGAAATCAAACATGGCCCCTCATCACTTTCCAATTGCACATATACTGACTCACATATGTATTTTAATGAAATTTGTAAAGTCATCAGGGAAGATTTTAAAAAAATGGATGAGGAGTCACTTTGCAGCACAAGGGGATGATTACAGATGGAGGGAACTGGGAAGCTATGAATTCAGCACTAGAGTTCTAGGGGACCTTTTAACCTTGCTGCCTCTGGGGGTGTCTTCGTGATGACCACCCCACACCTCACTGGCCCCTCTCCTCTCTGCCTGCTCCACTCCCCTTCCTCTTCTCCTCCAGCATCTAGAAGGGAGGAAGGAAGCACAAGCAGGACTCCCCTGGGCTTCTTCATGCTTAGGTCTCCCTGACACACAGACCTTGAGACTCACTAACCCTCTCTCCAGTCATTTGCATGTGCGCGCGCACGTACACACACACACGCACACACACACACACAAGTTTCTTCTCCAAAAGAATTCTGATGCCAGTTCTTAATAGATTTTTCCCTTCCTTAAATATACAAAATAAAAACTCTGCACCACCTGGAGGCGATTAGGGTCTAATATGGGCACTCCCAGGGGACCATGGATGTGCCCGTCATGCTTTGAGTCACTCTCCCCACCTTTGTCCTGTGCCAGGGCATTTCTGGTCACTATAAATGGCCATGAGTCTCAGCACAGAAGCCTTCTCAACGTCCTCCAGGGACAGCCCTGACCTCGAAAGCACTTTGTGACCTGAGCACTGCCAGAGGACAGCTGAGCGGGGCGAGCTGCACCCTCTGTGCCAGAGGTACACAGCCCCACACTCACACGGTGGTCCCTGCACACACTGCGGTCTGTGGCAGTGAGGTTGGTAACAGCCTCCATCAGGGGTGCTGGGGCGGGGTCCCGGCCCGAGCACATGGGTGGGTAAGAGGATTCTAAGAACTCTCAAGATCTGGGAGGGCGTGTGTGAGGGGCTGGGGACATGGAGCACGCCTATTCTGTGGGCTGACATGCCTGTGCTAGTCTTGTGCTCCTCAGCCTTGTTTGCCTGTGGCATCACTGTCCCCCGGCATGAGCCCCCATCCACCCACAGGTCCCCTGCCTCATTGTCACCAGAACCTGAGGACAGCCGCCTTCATGAGCAGGCGTCCGGGAGCCCAGCCTGTTTGGGGGGACTGAAAGCAGGGGGGCTGCAGTCTGGCTGATGGACGAATGAGCGTGTCATTTGGTAACCATGCCACAGACAGGAACAGAAGAGAGCCCCTACCCCACCTAGGAGAAAGAAGTGTCCAGGAAACAGCTGCGTCTGGAATTTCTATCATCTACTCAGGCACAGGCTGGAATACACAAGAAAAAAATGATGGAGAGGGGTGCGAGGAAGGAACTGGTTCTCCATCTGGGGTTGCTGATATCAGCCCTGCTCAGGTCCTCTCACTGGACTCTGCTAAGCTCCAGCCCGTTAGATACACAGGCATGTTCGCAAGCACACACACACACACATGCACACACACACACACTTTCGCATGTGCAAACATGCACTCATCTCCTTGCTGCCCAGCCCTAGTGATTCAGTGGCTGGAGGTGTGTGCCATCCCATTACACCATATCTCCTATTTCCTCTTCACAAGAACAGCCATGTCCATGGTAGCTTTGATGGTTTTTATTTGCTGACCCATCACTGATTGGGCACCTACTGTATTCCAGGTATTGGGAATACCAAGGAAGAAGTACAGTGGGAAAGAAATAATGCCAGCATGAGTTAGAATAGAGGTATTTGCAAGGTGCCCTGGACCCCAGAGGACTCCCAGAGGAGGCACATAACTGGAGAAGGGAGGACAGGAGCACAGTGGGAAAGCAGCCGCAGAGGCATGGACACCCCTTCTGTGTTGAGTTGGCCGACGAGAGCTATGGGCTGCGGAGGAAGAGGTGGGAATGCAGCTTGAAAGGAAGACCAGAGATGGGATTTGAAGGACTGGCTCCTCTGCTTGAATTTAGGCAGCGACAGTCTTTCTCCAAGCCAAAAATTAAGGCTAGTGATAAGAAAAGTGCAAATGCTTTTGGGGGTAGGATGGCCAGGACATGAACCCCAGGCTGTGTGAACCTCCTGGACCACCCAGGGCCAGTGGTCTCTGGAGCAGTGGGTCCCACCAGAGACTCACTCCTGAAGTGACTCGTCTCAGACTGCCTTCAGGTCAGTCTCTGCCCACACAGCAGAGGAGGCCGGGAGGGCAGAAGGCCAGAGGCTTTAGGGAAGAGGTTGAAACTGAAGTCCAGACGGAGGAGGGGAGGGCAGCGGTGGGCAGTGGGGAGAGAGGGGTACTCCAGGTTACTTCAGAGGCAGGAGATGGAGGCATGTGGATCCTCTGGGCCCTTCTCGATGCTTCCTGACTAACAAGGACATCCCAATGCCTCACAGAGCCCTGCTAGGTCAGTTCCCAAGGCCAGCACCAGTAGGGGCCCCATAAGGCCAAGCTCCCCACATAGAACCCCAATTCCCTCATTCCTGTCTTTCATGCAGAGATGGGGCAAGAAAACCTATCTTGTCTCTGCCTAAAAAAATGCATCTTGATTTCCACACACCTGGTTTCAATGGTTTGCACCTGCCCTTTAGTATCTGCTGCTCTGACACTTCAAAAAGGAGACAGATTTGGACTGTGGAGGAGCCTATAATCATCAAGAAGGGATTCCCAGAGTACAAAATAGTCTTGGAGTTGATTAAAAAGTTGTTTGGTAATGATAAGGTTATGTAAGTAAGACGTGATTTTTGAGATTAAAGGGATACTTTGGTATTTTTTGAGCTACAGACACAGAGAAATAGCAGAAATTCAGATGTAGATCTAGATCCATACACATACATGCACATATATGTGTATTTACCTGTATGTGCAGACTCATGCACACACATTTCATGGGAGAGTAGCCTCTTCCAGGTTGCAGGGTTTTGCACTTGATTGACACCCATGAATGTTTGCTGAATTAAAGCAAACTCTGCTGTGCCCATCCTGTTGTGTGTATGTGTGTTTTTTTTTTTTTTTATCACTGACCATTGCTCTCAGGAGTTAATGTTTGAACCCAGTCATTAAGGAGTTGACAGCTACTGACCTATGGCCAACATCTGAAGGGGAAGGAGCCCCCTATAAATCAGCCCATGCTGAGCGGTCCAGCCACAGAGCTGCAGATCAGCTGTGAAGAGGAAGCCTCATCGCCAACATGAACTTCTCCGGCAAGTACCAGCTGCAGAGCCAGGAAAACTTTGAGGCTTTCATGAAGGCAATTGGTGAGTTCTAGGGTTAATGCCAAGACGGGGGGTCACAGCCATGAGGGTCTGGCCTTGCAGGTGGTGGCTAGTCAGGGTCTTGGTGTCTCATGGATGGAGAGGGTCAGGCCAGGACCATGTTATTGACTTTTGCAGTCACTTGCAGCTTGTGTTTTACTCTCAGGACAAGGTCACTCTGTAGACAAGTGGAAAGAGCACTAAAGTAGGGTCTGATCTGGAAACCACCTCTACTGATACTTCTTTGTGGGGCCTTGTTCATTCATTCATTCATTCATTCATTCATTCTTCTACCAAACATTGACTCAAGGTCATGCTGAGTACAGTGCCGATAGATAACCTGGGAGAGAGATGACAATAAGCCATATTCCCAAGGTCACAGTTTAAAGAAAAGGAGAGAAAATAAATGCTAATAAGTGTCCCCTACAATGTATGGAGTGCTGAGTCTCTGCCAGGCACTGTGCTGTTGCACACTAGATATCCTTCATTGAATCCTCACCAAAAAGCTGAGTTGGGTATTATTATTTTCCCATTTTTAAAGTTGACATAACTGAGGTCTAGAAAGACTAAGTAGTCCCAACCAAGCTCATGTAGATAGGAAGTGTTTGAGTCAGGATTTGCTGTGGGTGTCTGGTCCCAGCAACCCTACTCTCACCTCCACTGGGCACGTGGGAAGGGTGTGCGCTTCCAGGGGGAGGAAGCCTTGTGAGCAAAGGGAAATGTGATAAGGAAGGGTGCAGAAAGGGCGAGAGGTGGGGAGAACAGCAAATCGGGGAGAGGAGGACCTTTGGGACAAAGAGTGGATCTTCTCAAGGGCAAATTCTGCCACCTGTGTGTTACATCCCTTACTTGCATGTCAGTCCTCGGTACTCCCACTGTCAGCACACGTGGTGTTTGTGATTCTTGATTTACAAAACAGCATAGACATCCGCTGATGTCTGTAAAGCTCTGTCCCAGGGCAGGGATTCCTCAGGAGTCTTGATTGCAAAAGTCAAGGTAGGGATAGGTGGACATAAGTATGCCTGGCATAGTCCAGTTTATGCATGTCTTTGCATCATAATAAATAACCCCCTTTTACTCTTGGGAGTAATCCAGCCTGGGTGATAAACTCTATGGTCTACCTGGGGATGAGAATGAAATATTTCTATAAAGAGCAAAGACTCCTGGTATTGAAGGAGGAGGAAGGAGAATGGAGGAAAGGTTCTTCAGGCCAGAGGAGCACCACTTTTGTACACTAACTAGGAAGATAGCAGGCAGCCCAGGTCAGGCCTCTGACCTTCCCTTCGGAGCTCAAAGCCCACAATGCTCGCAGGACTCCAGTAAATGCCTGTGGCCTCAGGGCCACACAGCACCTCCACGCCACAGTTCTCTTATAACCACAGCCTTGCAACTCCCACCTCCCCCTTCACTAACCCTCACATGGATTCCTCCAGGTATGCCCGATGAAGTCATCCAGAAGGGGAAGGACATCAAGGGGGTGTCAGAAGTTGTGCAAAATGGCAAGCACTTCAAGCTCACTGTCACCACCGGGTCCAAAGTGATCTACAACGAGTTCACCTTGGGGGAGGAGAGTGAGTTTGAGTTCATAAATGGGGAGAAGATCAAGGTAGGTAATGGCCCCTCCAGCCATCCTCTCCTTCCATAGCCTGGTCCCAGGGCTTCCTTCCTTCAGGTTTCCACCTCACTATTCCCAGAAACAAGAATCATCTCTGAACCCACTTCTGGGAGGGGGGCAGAGAGACAAAGACAGTTCTTATGGAAGAAGCTCTTAGGGAAGTGGCTCCCACTCCCCCAGAACTCTCTGAAGGTGCTCTGGCCCACAAATCCAAGCTATCCTGTGTGTTGGATTTGGGGAACTGGGCACAGAACAGGAGTCTGAGTCTTGGTTGCTCTCCTGCCCATCACTCCTGTCTCAATATCCACCCAGCAGTGGGCAAGTAAGGGTCAGTGAAAAAAACTTTAACAGCCCTAAGCTTATCTTTGAGCCCAGAGTAAACTGACCTTTGCTGAGCCTAGAGCTAGCAATCATGGGAGACTTTCTGGAAGAGATACTGGCAGCACCAGGATACCAAGGCTCTAGGCAGGCACTCAGACCAAGCCTCCGTGGTCACTGAGAATCTCACAGCCAGTTTATCTGTAAAATGGGCACAGTCACCCTCACAGTCAGAGGCAGTGGCAGAGAAGTTACCTCCACTGGCCTGTGGCTCTTGGTGTGCAGGAGAGCTGGGTGGGGGCTATGTGAGTGGTGGCCAGTGGTGCAGGCAGTGAGGTGCCATCACCAGGGGCTCTCTTCCCACCCCAGCGATTCCACACACCCAAGCACACCCAACACCACAGAGTGTCTTCACTCCTCCCTGCACACAGGCTCGGCAAGTTGGTCTTCTGCCTCCTCTGACAGCTCTTTATGTCTGCTTCTCCACACTTAACATGGCAGATCAAGAAACCTGTGATCAGTTTTAGGAGGAAATTCTCTTGATATGTCCAAGGGAGGGGCAGGCCACTGTGGGTTTTACCACAGGCCTTTTCCAATTGCCCATTTTGGAGGCAAATTTTTGAAACATGGCCACTGCTAGGTTCCTGTTATCTCTTCCTGGATGCATAGACTTGAAAAGGAGATCACAATGGGAAAGCTGAATGTAGTGGAAGGATTGGTACTTACCAACTCAAAACGTGTTCTCCAAACTTGACTATATTTTGAAATTTGCTACTATCTCCCTCTGTTAGCATAGAGAATTAAGAGTTTACTCAATTTTATTTTAGTGATTGTGTTGGAGGCCACTTAGGTGTCCTAGGCTTGTTTCTAGATCACATATCATCAGTTAAAAGTAGAACAAAAGAAGTCCTAACATTTCCTTTAGTTCCCACCTGCACCTCCCTTCTGTCGGTGTGACACAAAGATGAACGTTGGGTTGTTGGGAGACCCAAACAGGAGTGCCAGCCTCTTTATCGAGGGGCTCCTCCCTCAGCAGACCCTTCCTCACAGGCTATCTCTTCTGTCCTCTGCAGGCAGTGGTTCAGCTGGAAGGTGATAACAAACTGGTGTCAACTTTCAAAGGTATCAAGTCCACGACCGAACTCAATGGCGACATAATCACCCATGTAAGTTTGCTATGAGCATAAAACATGTGGTCCCCGCCACCCAGGACATTCACAGCAGAGCAGGGAGGTACCAGCAGAGCTGGGGGAGATGAGCCTGTCCTGAACCCAGTCCTGGTCGGCATCCCTTCATTTGCTTTCTCCCCTGGCCCTCCCCTCTCATGCAAACAAGGCAGGATGGATTTAATTTGGGATCTGTCCCAAGGTCATCCATCCATCCATGAGTGGTGGAACCAGGATTCAAACCTAAATCTTTCCATTCCATTCCATTGCAGCTGAAGCTAATGGTCTCCTCTTTTACCCTGAGTACATTATCTCACAGTCTTGTTGAAAAGAGAAACAGTGGGAATATGGGGCAAGGGAGAAAGGAGCATCCTTCAACTGATGAATACAATGTTTACATACACTCATAAATTGGGAGGAAGATCACGCAGTACCTCCTGTCCTCCACACTGGGTGCCTGTGTGTTTACACACGTGTGTCCTTCGTTCTCATTATTAGTTTGGTGCATAGAAGGTGCTCAATGAAATTGAGAAACTGGATTAGATTGAACTGGTGTAGACGGTCTTGCTGTATCAGCCATTGATGTAGAAAGGAATTCAGTAAACAGAACAGAACAGCTAAGTGAGAACGTGAAGTGACAAAGACTTGGCATGAGATTTTAGAAAAAACTGTCAACACTTCTTCTGGTCCTATGAAAAACAGAGGAATCTTTGAATTGTTTCTTATGTTAGTATATTTGGGACTATGTTGCAGGCTTAATTATTTATTGTGATTCAACATCAGATGAACATGTCATGACTTCTTTTCTAATTTTCAGACTATGGCATTGGGCGACATTGTCTTGAAGAGAATCAGCAAGAGAATCTAAACCAGTCTGCATTTCACATTCTTTTACTATGTAAAATTAATGTAATAAAGTGAACGTTGTTTTCAAATGTCTTTTCTTCTCAATGACTTTTCATTGATGGCGTTGTTGGTATCAGTGAACAATGATCACCTATATTTTTGTAAACCTTAATCATCTGCCCATTTCATCTTCCCAGTCAGGAATGCAGGTAGGTAAAAAGGAGCTAATCCCTTGAGTGTGGTCACAGCAATCCCACCCACAGTGGACATGAACAAAAAGGACAATAAATGAGCCACTAAATAAACAATTATCCCTGTTAGGGGAGGACTGGGCTTAGCAGGAGACATCAGACATGGCTAGAGGAAGCTCAAGTGGAAATTCCCAGCATGCAATAAGAGGAAGTAAACTGTGGAAGAAAAAGAGTTCCTCTGAACAGTATTTTACACCAGGCTCTGGAATTTGTTTTGGGTTGAGTTGCATCTTCCCAAAATTCACATGTTGAAGGCCTAATCTCTGGTTCTTCCAATTGTGACCTTACTTTGAAATAGTCATTGCAGATGTAATAAGCTAAGTGTGTGGTCACACAGGAGTAGGGTGGGACCCAATCCACTATGGTTGGAGGAAATTTGGACACAGACACCAGGTGAAGTGCTGGGAGTACACCAGGTGGAGATGGGAGTTACACAGTCACAGTCAAGAAACAACCACAAGCTAGGAGAGAGGGGCTGAAATGTATCCATCCCTGGTGCCTTTTGAGGGAGCCTGATGCTGCTATCCCTTTGATCAGACTTCTAGCCTCCAGAATTGTGAGATAACAGTTGTATAAATCACCCATCCTGTCGCACTTTGTTATGGCAGCCTAAGCTGTTCATTCCCCAGAGCCAAAGAGCTGGCAAGCTGGGACATTTCTACCTCATCATATCTTTCAGCTAAGCAACGGAGAGTTCTCAACAAAGGGGCTTTATTTATTTATTTTCTAAAAGATTTTTATTTATTTATTTATTTATACAAGCACTGGGTACAGTCAGAAGCGCGGGAGGGTGAGAGAATTCACCAGAGCCAGAGCGGGGAGCAGAGCAGGCAGAAGGACCGAAGTACACTGCTGAGGGGAGCAGCGAGCGGCAGGAGAGCAGCCGGGGATTAAACCGGCCACCGGGGAGGCCCAACAAAGGGGCTTTAATAAATAAGTGCATCTGTCGCAACTTCGCCTCCTGTCTTCCCACTTCTAGAGTTGAAATCAAATTACCTGGCAAATCCCTACCTCTCACTCTGAGCTTCCACCCAGTTAATGGTCATCTTCCTTAAAGACAGCGCTGATCAGAATGCTTCCTAATTCACTGCCTGGCACCTAAGAGCAACACTCCTAAACCTACATTCAGGTCTCTCTATCAGGAGTCAATAAACTTTTTCTGTAAAAAGCCAGAGTAATATTTTCAGCTTTGTGGGCCTCTGGTCTCTTTCGTAATCCCTAATTAGCATGAAAGCTGTCACATACAATACATAAACTGAGCAAATGACAGTAATTATGTGCTCTGAATTTGAATTTTATATCATTTTTATATATATCATAAAATATTATTCTTCTTTTGATTTTTTTTTTTAGACTATTACTCACAGACAACCATTCTTAGTTGGTACACTATACAGATGCAGGTGGCGTCTGACCAGTGGGCAGCAGGCCAGGAACCCTTGCTGGATCACCATCACAGGCTGTCCCACCTTATCTAGCTTCACATCCTTTTCTAGAACTTACTTTCCAACAGCATGAACAACCTCTCGCTTCTCTCGCAATTTAAGTTCCATCCTTCAAGAAGGTTCTTAAGTTGCACAGCTGTAAGTACAGTTCCCTCTCTCTAACAATTTGCTGGAACCAGTCAATTGGGTGAAATTCTCTCTGACTTGCTCTATGGTTTCTCTGTATATTGCCCTCCTCCCAAAGGAGGGACGTGTCCTGGAAAAAAACAAAGTCCATTCTGGGAACTAAGACAGACCTAAGAAAGAGCCTCAGCATTAAGCACTCAGACACCGGAGGTGGTAGGAAAATAACAAACTGGAAACACCCATGATATGCCATTCACAAAAGTAAATTCCAGATGAACTACAGAGCTAAATTAATATAATGCATTTTAGAAATAGATATGATAGTGTATAAATAAATCCAAGTATAGAAGACTTTCTTAAACAAGTAGAAACCATGAGGGAGTAGATGAATTCATTTGTACTATCTAAAAAATTAAAGACTGTTATATGACAAAAAACACATAACAGATTCAAAAAGATGTACACAGTTTCTTAAAAGCAACAATGTGGGAGAAAATGTTTGTGGCTCCCATAACAGAGGCTAATAGGATATTAAAACCTCCTCATATCAGATAAGACAAGTAAGTCAATGGAAGGGGGGGGTGGTTGTTGAGGACGTTAATATGCAATTCACAGTATGAAAGGAATTCAGTCTCATAGTAATTCGGGAGAAGGAATGTGAGATGTCATTTTTAAAATCAAACTAGTTAAAGGAATCTTAGTACACAGTGTTTGCAAGGATGTTATGACTGGTTCTCTCATTGATGGTGAGATACAGCTGGTTCAGAGATATTGGTGCTGGTTCAGAGCACTGTTTAACAGCATCCGTTCATAGTCTTAATCAGAGTTCTCTAACACCTCGCAAAAGTACTGCTGTCCATCTCCCTAAACAAGTACATATACACATTCGCCAAAAAAAAAAAAAAAAAAAAAAAAAGGACGCAAAAGTCAAAACTGGAAACAAATGCACATTAGTGAAAAAGGTTACAGTCATACTCTGAAATAACCAAGGGTAGATTAAATGAAGGACACAGAGTTTTGTGTACCGTCATAGTGAGACAAAAAGGATCCTTGGACAAAACAAGACAGGAATCAAGCACAAAAATTTTACAAGAAATTTATGTTCCCATGGCTGGCAAATGAGAGATTAAAAAAAAACACTCAGGCACCTGCTGCCATAAATTTCCTTGGGATTATTTGTTTGTTTATTTGTTTGTTTGTTTGTTTTCCACGAATTTCCTTCAGGCTTGGAATTTCTGAGCTATCTTTCTACAGATTATCAGTTGGTTCTGATGGGGAAAAGGGAGTTAAAAGAGCAGAAGAAAAAGGGAGTCACAGACCTTGAGAAAAAACTGGTTCACCCTGGAGCTGCAGGGCCGCCATGAGATGTTCACTTTCAGGTGTCACTAGCCCTGCATGACCCCTGAGCTGCAGCTGCTGGGTGCCCACAACTAGCAACAACAAATGGACTTTAGGCAAGTCCACTCTCTTTGCCTTCGAACCTAGTAAAGTTTAATCCCTTTGGTCTCAAGCCCCATTCCTAAAACTTATATAGACCCCCTTCCCCTGGCACCTCCTGGTATCTCTCTCATGCCCAGAGAAGTCTCCCAGAGCTCTCTTTTCCTGATTTTTCACTAATCAATAAACAAAGACTCCTTTCCTGCCCTCACCAATGTCTGTGGAGTCTTCTTTTCAATCTTGACCAGCAGGTCTTAAGAGCCTTTTCCTAAGGGCCTCCCTGTTGGCACAAGGGGTTAAGCACCACACTAGGAAGCAATCCGCAGCCTCTACAGCATGAGTTCAATCCCTGGCCAGCCAGGGGGCAACCCACATGACTCAGCAGACCTCTCCTGACTTGCCATCTGCTCCCTTCATCAGTGTACTTCAGTCAGTCTGCCTGTTCTGTTTCCCACTCTGTCTCTGGTGAATCCTCTGACCCCCTGTATCTCTGGCCTATACCCAGCTCTGATATGCATAAATTTAAAAATCTTTTTTTAAAAAAAAAAAGCCTTTTCCTGGGTTTGGGAATAGGCCCTCTCAGTCCTTCCTTCTGACTCCCTGGCAGGTAGAGCAGTGGAAAATAGCTGGTAAGTTGCCAGCTTATCCACCTGTTTTATGGGAGAGGTTGGGATCAGACTGAGGGCTGCAGGTCCATCCCTTTGTGTGGTGATATTGCAACTATCTCTAAGACAAAGTGTTAAAAAAAATTCATTTTGGATAATAACATTCATGAAAATGTGAAACAAAATTATCTGTTTCTACAAATAAACATACATGTCTGTAACCATGGATTTTTGGAACACCAGATAATAACCATTACTTCTGGGGTGGAAACAGGAATTGGCTGAGAAAGCAAGAGGATTTTTTGTTTTATTTACATTGTCTGAATCTTTTGCAAGGAACTATTTTATGGATCTAGTTTTTTAATGGATGGTGAATTTTTTTTTAAAGATTTATTTATTTAGCATACAAGAGCTGGGTCATAAACCAGATGTGTGGGGGGTGAGAGGATTCACCAGAGACAGAGTGGGGAACAGAACAGGCAGACTGACTGAAGTGCACTGCTGAGGGGAGCAGCAGGCGAGACAGGAGAGTTCTGCTGCACCAAGTGGGTTGCTCCCTCGCCGGGGATCGAACTCATGCTGCAGAGGCTGCGGACAGCTTCATAGGTTGTGTTCCACTCCCTTGCGCCACCAGGGAGGCCCATGGATAGTGAATTTTTTTTAAAGCAAGTAATTTAAAGTAAAAATATTGGACTTGAAGACATGGTTCTCATTAATGAATCTATGACATTGGGTCTCAGTTTCTCGTGTAAAATGGACAATACAATACCTCTTCTCATGGCTTTGTAAGGAGCCCAAGAAATGATGCAAGTGGCATCCAAATGAAAGATGTCATTATTGCCACTTGGAATCCTCATGGAATTACAATTGTGTTGGACATTCAAGCTATTGGCAGAAGCCCTGTGATGCCCAGAGAAATTAACATTCATAAGTAGATGAAGAGGAAATAAGTTTCGCCTACAACCACCCAGCTGACAAGAGGTGGAACTGAGGTCTTGACTCTCAAGCCAAGATGGAGGAGAGAAGTGAAACTAGGCCTTCTCTTCAGCAGAGGCTCTAGGGAGCTATTAAACCCCAGTCTCCCAACTGGGCTCTCTCCCTGGGAACAACTCTGAGTTTTGGAGGGGTTTGTTTGTTTTTGCCTGATACGGTGAATTAATTTTGCTTTTTTTAAATTGTATTTTTATTTTTAAATTTTTTTTGGATTTTTTAATTTTAACA